GTCAACGAAAGCTGTCCACTTAAGCGAAATTTCATTTCTGACTTTTTCGCTTATCTGTGCAGTTTGCGCCCCGGTTATATCTGCATTTATGTCATATATAGCTCTCGGATTCATCGTATATACACATTTGTATGTTATGCATACGCAAACATGGCACAGTTGTATGAGAATGTTCAAGTTTAATCTGAGTTGGCTGACGCTTTTCCTCGTTGCGATTGCAGCAAGCTTTAAATAAGGCTTAAGTTAAGACGATACAGTAATTGTTTACCCCTTAAATTAAAGAATAATATATCATTATTATTGAAAAACATAAAATTGTTGTTGACCGGGACACAATCGCTTGATGTAATTGATGTTATAAAAAATTGTTATATGTTAAATTGTTAAATGTTATAAAAAAATTACTTTCTGCCCCAAAAAATAGCAATTATTGGTTTAAGAATTTGTACTTATCTTGTCTAATTAAATATTTAAGTAATATGGCTTATTTTAATAAACACGTTTTTTCCAATATCTGGAACAGTGTCATATTTTTCCTTCTATTTTTATTTACAGGGTACAACAGTATCTAAAGTAGAGATATCTGCATTGCTTTCCCGTTTTCTGCGCCGTCAGCTGTATCTTGTTGTCTGGCCCGCTAATTCCCTCCATTAACTATTACTTAATTGTCGCTTGACACGACGTTTAAGCTTCTTCTCGCGATCCCCACACTTCCCTTTTGCTGGCGATATCATTCCATCCAAGATAAGATTATTTTATCTGTCTAACTCAGCTTATGTGAGTCACATGCAAAATAATTTTGCCGGTATCCAATTAAATCAGATCAAATCATTTCCTGAATTTGCGTAGAACAATGAAAAGGCGAAACAGAAAAACAAATCCAAAGAGATAAACAAAAACAATTGGTTGAATCAACAACCTGCCAACTGAAAGATATTAATTAGTCAGCGTGGCAGAGTGGCAAAATGTAAGGCGTATTTTCTAATGTGAAAACCCAAACACGTTCCACACATCCGATTCCGATTGCCGGTCGCCGCTTCTGTGGATCATGAATTATGCAGCCGTCGTTTAATAAATCTATTAAATGCATTGAACAAAAATATTGGTATCAAACTTTTGCCGGTAGAAACAAAGCAAATAATAAAACCAGGTATTTTGATTTTATAAAAATGTTATCTAAAAGGATACAGACACAAATATTATAAAAATATTCATTAGAAAACTTTATTTTTTTCTGTGTTGTGATTGATTTATTGAAAAATGGACATTCAATTGCTGGTTTGTTGTTGCTCCATAGAGTTTAGTTATAGAGTCATTAGAGAAAAGAACTGTGTCACGAGCCATTTCCTTGGCCAAGTGGAAGGAAGCTAGCGGTAACGTAGAATAGAGTATGAAGAGGGAAAAAACAAGTCTCAAGATTCCGGGCTCCTCATGTTGGTCCCGCATCTCCATAACTCAAATACTGATTCAGATTCCGATGCAAACTGAATTGAAATGGATTGGATTGGATGGCATGAGTGGAGAGTGGGAGGAAATGGATGTGGAAGTGGACAGGCCTTGGCAACAACAATGCGGAAATGTTAATTGGATTTGTTGTGGCATCCATGTGGGTGGTTTGCTATAGACTTCTCTTTCAGAGTTCAGAGGTCAATGCATCGCATCGACAAACGAACCTCTTCTCTCCGCTCTTTGTTTTTGCTTAAAGCTAAAGCTGCCTGATATGACACAAAGTTAGTCACAAAAACAAAAAGTTGACGCGGCCAGTTGATGATTCAGATTGTAAGGTATTTTTCGGTTTAGTTTCTTTCCGATGCATTCGCCCGAAATACCTGGAAATTTTTTTGTGTAAGACCCTGCGTACCAAACTTTTAGTCATCGTAAAAATGCCAAAAACAACAGCAACAAAATGTAAACAGAGGAAGAAGTGTTATCTCCCTGTTTCACGTTAAAAACAGTATACATAGCTTCAATTCCTTTGATTTTATCTTTTCCAAAAATAAGAAGTATTAGATAAGAGAAATATAGAATTCTTAAGTTACTATTTTTTGTTAAATCTTCATGGCTAAAAGTATTCCATAAGTTTTTTTTAATTATAAAGTTTTTAGAAGAATTTCACTTAGGCATTTCGACTGTAATACATTTAAAAGCTGATAAAATGGAAATGGGGCAAGCAAAAAAAGACAACTAAAAAGGGGAGCATATTGTCTGTTTGTTATGGTTTTTTTTTTCGGGGTTTACTTAAGTTTTTATCTTATCAGTAGCAGCTGGAAAACTGGGCTAACGGTGTTCAAATAACTGTGTCGTCACACCCTCTTTCTTTCTGTGCCTCTCTCCCTGTTCGTTACACCTTTCCCGTTCTAATGCAACAATTTCGAAATCCGCGTTGCATGCGGCCATGTGTTTTTGAATCGGGTTGGCCCAGGGGAAAGACCAAAGAAGGAGGGAATAGGAGAATGAAGAGTGGGCCAAAAAGATGGAAGTAGTAGGTAATAAATGGTATGCAAATTTCTGTGCGCAATGGACTTCCCGTAACTGATATTAATCATATGGCACTGTCAGTTACGGAAATCTTAAATTGGTATGTATGTACAAAAACATGAATTTTTAATAAGAAAACTATTGCTGCTTAACAATTATGATGAATGTATAGATTTTATAACTTTTAAAACAACATAAGGAAAACATTTTACTTCATGGTTGAAATCAGAGTTTTATGGTTCGATTGTTCTCTGAATTTAACAAATTTAAAAGAAATGTATTTGCGTAATTAGATTTATTGAAATTGGGTTGGGTTACTTTTCCGTTTTATAACTTTGACCGGTAACGCTGATTTCGTGCCTATTTGCGAACTGGTTTTGGTTTGGGCCCTATGAGTGTTGTGTTTGTTAGTGCTTTGCGGGTCGGGTCTTTGGCCCGCTTTATTTGGCAAACGAGTGTAACAACCAAAAAAAAAAAAATGAGTCATGGCAAGTTGGCTGCCATTTCAGGGCTAAAGGAGTTGTGTAGTCTTGGTTTGTTGTTATTATTCTTGTTGTTGGCTGCTGGTGCATTGACATTTAAATGTTTGCTGCAAAGGGGAGGCACAGGAGGCGTGTTGAAGAGGAAGCAGTGACTGGAGAGCTATGGCATAAATTAAAGTTCAAACAAACACGAAGAAGAGGAGGAAAATCGAGGTTGCCCCACCCGCACAATCTGCGCATCTCTCTCTTTTTTGGCGCTCTCTCTTCGCCTCTCCCTTTCTCTCTTCTTCTTCTCCTTTGCCTATTTGGCAGGTTTTTGTTTGTTTTGCGGCGAAAGAAGCGCAAGAAGAAGCAGTGCAGTTGCAGCCAAAACAAGAGGAATAACAACAACAAATGTAACGGGGAGATAGGGGAGCTGAAGAAGTAATTAAAGCAAAGTCGAAAAAGAACAGCTGCCCATTTTATTGCTGCTGCTTCTTCTTCTGCCAGCCCCCCTACAAACACAAGAAAAGTAATAAAATCAGGGGCGCAATTTTAGGGGGCCTTAGGAGTTTAGGTTACCAACAAAAGTTATTGTTTGCCACCATATATTAAGCGGAAATGGTGGAACTAAGTTCTAAACTCGCCAAATCAAAAAGATACCCCCCAAAAATGTACTTACGAGCCGCCACTGCATTTAATGAAAACAGGTTTTGGGTGCAGGAAAAAAAGGAGAAGCTGCCGGAATAGTGACAGCTGTTTTTAGGGCCCACTTAATTTGCGCAAATCTAAGCGAATTTAAACGTTGGCGAAACTATCTAAAAACTGCCCTCGCACACACACACACAAACGCAAAAGGAGAGGTGCGCAAAAAAGGGCGTGTTTGTATAGGAAGAAGAAGCAGTAGCAGAAAAAAGGAGCAGGAGGAAATAGGCAAAAAATGGGGTTTTAAGATAAAACAGCAGCCACCATGAAATAATTCCGAAACAAATAAAATCGAAAATAAACCATCGAATTCGCTTCCTGGATTAAAAATAAATTCTTGCAGAAAGCAGGCACAAAACAACAAAAACTTACCACAACATTTTGGTCGATTCCGTTTCCACAGCAAAAATGGGTTGGTATTGGTGTGCGGCGTCTGCTCTGCTTCTTCTTCAGCTTCCAACAGAAAGAGAGAGAGAAAAAGAGAGCAAATTGCAATTCTTCAACTCTCTGGCGGTTTAGAAAACAATTGCGATTTAGATTTTTTAATTAAAATGCTTGACTTTTGGGGTTTTTAACTTCAGCACGCAAACACACACACATACGGCCACACGCACGGAAACAAACACAGTTACAGAGTGAGTGAACGAGAGAGAGCTAGAGCGGGCAGGGGAGAGAGAGGAAGAAGCGAAAAACTCCTTTTCAAGGAGTAGACACCAATTTTTCTCGGCTCTCTTCCGACGCGAAATAAAGTTTTTACTTTAGTTATAGATTAAATTTTGGTAATGACAATATAAAACAAACACATCCACACACTTTTTCACGAGCCGAGAATATCCTTTACTTTTAGCTCCTGTTTTTCTGCTACACCCCGAACTTTTTCTGTGTTTTCGGGTTGTATTACTTTTGATTTTTATTAACTCAATCACTCACAGCTATGCGCTCGTGTTTATCGGTAACATTTTCCGCGACAGCACCAAACAAATCAAAGGAAAGGCGGCGTTTTTCCCCGGAAAAAACAGTCCGTGTCCGCTTTGCGTTCCGTTTCGGTTGCCCGTTTTAGTGTTACCTGATGGCCAAATTAGAGCTGCAAAAACATCTGTCTTACAAACGATAGGATCGATGTTTTGAAAATGTTCGATATATCGATGCTTTTCCACTTGCCTAGCGAGTACACCCTCATAACGTAGCTTGTGCGCTCTTACCATCATCCGAAGGTAGCGGGTGTCCCAACCACCGTTAGCCGAGACTTCTTGGACCATCGAATTTAAAGAGCGGGATTTTTAAATTCTTGAAATTAAATTTATTTATTTTGTAATATTTTGTCCTACATTTGTCTCATTAAAACTCAAAACCTTATTCGTGTTTCTTCGACTTCTTTAATTTGATTGCACAGGGCGGAAATTTTAGAACGTGTCAGAGTGATGGCGGTAAAAAACTAAATTAGAATAATCGTCTAATACATAAATTAATACGGGCTCGGAGGGGTAACCCGGAGTCCGGAATAAACGCGACTAGTAGACGGCATCCCGGTAGTTTTCCACAAACTTTTGGATCAGTCCCGGCAACTCCGGTGCCCGGCAGAGGTATTTGTGTCCATATTTTAGGCTGGCACCGAAGCGATGGAACTCCACGGGTCCCCAGGACCGATTTCGTCCATCCAGGGCGATCCTATACAGACGGTAGCCCAAGTGGAATGGCACCACAACATCGTCCTCCGCGTGGATGATCATGATGGGCTGATGGAACTCCTGGACATGGACATCCGACTCGAATCTCAGTCTGTTGGTGTACATGGGCGTCGAGATGGTGAAATCGAACCAGGGCAGGTGCTTGAAGAGCTTGGCGAATGGATGCAGACGTATCTCGTCCCGAATGTTAGTGAACGGGCTTTCGAGGATCACTCCCCTGGGCGCCCTTTCCCTTAAGCTGGCCAACTTGGCACACAGATGCGTGGCCACTCCAGTGCCCAGGGAGTGACCCCAAACCACGATCGGATTGGAGGTCGTATTGGCTATGTATTCGAACACCATCAAGGCATCCCGCACAACACCTTCTTCTGTGGGTGGCACGGGATCAGAATCTGCATAGCCTCTGTAGTCGAAGGAGAACACATGGTAGTTGAGCTTCCTGAGCAACTTGTACACCTCCGATCGATGGCCACTGCCACGGGTGGCTGTGTTTCCGTGCAGATAGAGGACCACAGTGCCTCCCGGCATCCGCAGCAACCGCTCGTAGAACAGCTGCTCGTTCTCGGGCACCACGGCTGGGAATTCGGAGCGAATTGCTGGAGCCAGCTCCTTCAGCTCTTGCTCATTGCCAGGCGAGGATTCCTGGTGCTGTTCGGGATCCTGGGCCACTTCCTCCTCCACGCGGAGTTCACGCTTAAAGCGACGCACAGCATTGCTAGGCAGAACGTGCCACACACCAAGTCGCACTCCATCCTCGTCCTCATCGTGATCTTTTACTGTGATGTAGAAGTTGCGCGTGGCATACAAGCCAATGCTCTCCGGCCTTGTGAGATCAAGTCCTTTGGGGTACTTAACTGCAATCAGAAGAAAAATCGATTAAGTTTAGAATATAATTTAAAGATTAAATACAAGAATCAAACTGTCTTCTTAAATACAGATAAAGCTTTACTTTTAATATTGAATTTATTACTCTTTTGAAGTTTTAAAGGAAGATTGCTTTTGATAGTTTTGTTTTTAAACAACAAGAACTCCCGGAGTAGGAAAGATAACAACTTTCTGGAATACTTACTGAATGTAAGGAATAGGATGCCCCGTTGAAGCGTCACCGAGTATCGAAAGATGAGCGGCAGCATCACGAATATCAGGAAGAAGACCAGCAGACATGCTTGTAGAGATCGTAGACCCACCCTGCGAAAAATGACAATGGGTGAGAGGTGAATGGTGAATGGGTGACCGAGTGGGTGGGAAAAACTACAGCTTTGACTGAGTGACAACACAAAATGGAAGATAATCAAGCGGGTGCAAGTGTGGGCGTGACATATCAGGGTTTATACTATATGTACATTCGGATAGCAAGCAAAGCGAATATATACGGAAATGCGGGAACGGAACAGAGCCGGCGATATTCGCGAAGGAAATGTCACGATGTTAAGATCAAAAATCAGAAGAATGGGTTTCGAATAAGGTCTACAAAAGTAGTTAAACAAGCGCACAACATCGAATCGAGCGTGAGATACTTACAGACCAGTTAGCCAACTAAGTAGGATCGTTCCGGGAATGAGTGTGGCAAAGAAAACGGATCTTAGGCAATTATGAAGCTCGTACATTGCGATTGTATTTATGTCCGTTCGTTACTCTGCTTATTATGTAGTTAGCGATACTTAGACTTTACTATCGGGGAAAGCTGTTTAACACTGATTGTTACTGATTTACTGATTTTGTGCGTTTTTTTGTGAGGAGCTTTCCCGGGCGAAAAGAGAGATAAACAGTTGTGTTGGTTATTACTTGGTTAAATCAGGTAGTTTGTATTTCAAGTTCAATTATACACAAGGCGGGACGCATGCAAACCGAACCGAACCCGAGAACTGTTCCTTTGGAAAATGACCTTTGCACCAGGTTAGCTGCTGACTAAGTGGTTTTGTTTAGTGTTTGGGTGAAAAGGGCGAGCAACTGGGTGATTCGTTTTTTATGATTGGAGAGCCCAAGTCAAGTATAGTTAAAGTACTCTGCTTTGAATGAATTACCAAGCAACGCGAAATTACTTATGATTTGGTTATCTATAGTTTTGTTATCGCTACACTTTTATTTTGAAACCAACAGTTCACGAGTCCCCAAAAACTATCGCTTTTTTATTCATTATCTGCAAAACTCAAGAATCCTATTGGTTCATGAATATTAACGTTAAGATAATTACCTAGTGATAAGAATACTACAATTTCATGAAAATACCTTGACAGTAGTAATCACTTTTAGTAAGTTGTTGCACTTTACTTTTTAATAATTTTAGGTTCTTCTAGGATCACTTTCGCTTGCGTTCCGAATCACTTTCTACACAACCGAGCCACCTCACTGGACATATAACATTGAGTTAATGATAATGGCGGTATAATGATATCAGATATGAGCGCTACTCGAGAGTGACTAATAGTTGCCCACCCATTACTTTTCTAAGGGAGTTCGGAAGCAAAACTACGGAAGCGGATTCGTCGGGTGATCGGTTAATTTGGAACAGGGAGAAACAAACAGATAGGCGACCGAAAACAACACACAATCACAAAAAACACACCTCTTAAGTTGTCGCCGGCGCGTGAAGAGCATAACTGTAAAGAGTAAAGAACAGAGAAAGAGAATTATTATATCGATCATATTTAAAATAACCGCCAAACAGTTAAAGCGTGATCGGTTATCGGCGATCTGCTATCGAGCGAGAAAAATCGTTTCCGGTTTGCAAATTTTAATCACAGTTTCTTTGTTGCAACTTCAAATGCCGGATAAGCGCGTTGAGCTTTGAGCAAAGTTCCTCGACAAACTGATAGTTTTGCAAGTGGGCGATTTTTTTCACGCAACACATGCAATAATGCAATGCACTTGTGGCCAATTAACGAATAAATTGGCAATTACACTTACTTGAAAAGGGAGCTTCTGGTCGTCAGGTGAATAAAAAGTAGGAATTGCGGTAGAATAAATATCTCTACACCAATAACATGATGACCTGAAAATATAGAAAAATGTGAAAAACAAATAAGAGTTAGGTGGGTGGGGGTGGCAAAAGGGGGCAGGTGTTATTCCAATTCTTTGAAAAAGTTGAATAAATGGCAAAAAAAAAAAATAACTGAGTGAAAAACTAAATACGTCGACCACTTAACACCTCACTCCGCCTAATCTCATTAACCCATTAGGAAACACCCACAATCCCCCCTTTTAGTTGACGTTTACATTTTTATGTAATTTCTTTTGGTATTGTATTAGGGGAGGAACACAGTAGTTCAATTCAAACTTACCACTCACGCGCCAGCAACTTTAGCTTGTTTTTGGAACTTAAAAACCCTGGAAACACTTTTGTTGAGCTCTTTTTGCGAGAAATTAATTGGATCTGGAATATTTTCTGCCGAACAGCTGTCAATGTTGTTATTGACTATCGATGGTAGCTAGAGATGGCAAATGTGATATTTCCCACAATCGCATAGTTTATGCGGAATTTATGTTAATTTTCGTTAGTGAAAGCTTTGAATTTTTAATATAAATTGTGAAATTTTGAGATGCAAGCAATCGAGTTATGGTTATTAAACCTCTTCGTTGATCTTTTACAAATTCATTTAGCGCAAAGCAATTAAATGAAGTTTAAGTCACTGCTGTTAGAAGAAAGTTCCGTTAAATTGTTCTTATTTATTTGAATTTAAGTTATTTGGTCAGAAATTTTTGTTTTTGTAAATTTGCAAAGCGCCCTTCGAGTTGTATCGACTTCCTACTTTTTACGAATTCCGCCAATAAAAAGTCATCGATAACCTTCATTCAGTGTGACCAGACTTCCACCCTTAGGTTTGTTTTTTTTTTTCTCACGGAGCACAGAAACAAAAGAATTAGCAATTTAGCCGCAGAGCAGACGGAGCAGATCCATTTTCCGATTGGATCCGCAGGCAGAGCCACAGGATGAGGAGCGTCGAGGAGATCAAGGCGGAGTACCCGCTGCACTGGCACATCTGGCACAACGAACTGGAGCAGCTGCAGGCGGCCATCGACCAGGTGAAAAGAGGGGCGGGGGTGGTGGGTGTGGCCCCCGGGGACAGGTGCTAATTGAATTAGCAGGGTTCCGGGGGAAATGTCATGGCAGGGAGATAATGAAAACCACTGATTCCGTCACCTTGCAGAACGATAAGGAGAAAATCGATCCCCGCGGACGTACGCCACTGATGCTGGCCGTGAGATTGGCCAATTTGCCGTGTGTTAAGTGCCTTTTGGCGGCCAAGTGCAATGCCACGTACGAGCACGAAGGATGGTCGAGTATGTAGTACCCTAAACACCTATTAAATTCCTATTTAACCCCATTTTTAGTTGTCCAGGAAGCCGTTTGCACCGGCGATGTGGACATCCTGACGGCCATTATCGAAGTAAGGGATCTCCAACGTCATGTTCAGCGAGTCACGCACGTTCCCAAGCTGCTGCAGCACTTACTGGACGCCCCCGACTTCTATATCGAAATGAAGTGGGAGTTTACCTCCTGGGTGCCACTGATGTCGCGACTGTGTCCTAGCGACACCTACAAGGTTTACAAGCGTGGAGCCAATGTTCGCATAGACACCACTCTCTTGGGCTTCGATAACAACACTTGGCAACGGGGCAATCGCTCCTATATCTTCAAGGGAGCAAGTAGGTTTATTTTACTGTTTTGCGTTCTGATTAAAAATAGGCATGTATTTATTTTTTCTTGCAGAAGAAACTGCCACTATGATCGAGATTGATCACGACACGAGCGAGGTGATGGTGGAGGAGATGAGCAGCGACATCGGCGACATTGTTGCTATTCCGCCAGCTCTGGGAACTGTGAGGGCTCGTCTCAATGCTCCGGTGATCACCAACAACATCGAGATGGACAAGATCAGCTTTGAGCGCAACAAGTGCGGCATTTGGGGCTGGCGTAGCGAGAAATCGGAGGTGATCAACGGCTACAACTGCAAAGTGTACGGTGCCAGCAACGTAGAGTTCGTCACCAAGACGCGAATGGATCACCTTAGCGAGGAGCAGATTAAGGTAAATATTGCAGCAAACATTTTATCAGAGCTGTGTCAATCAGATAAGCCCTGAAACTTTCCTTCGTTTCGCAGTTATTTGCTAATTGCTGATAGTTCGCTATCTTATTGGTTGCTAAAAGCTATGATAAATGTACAAAAATTGAATACTAACTTTCATTTTGCATACGTATAAAGTTCCTTTATATGCACATACACCTTATTAACGATTTGTTATTATATTTTAGAACAAAACTGCTAGGACGCCGTTGCATAGTCTTCTGGGAATCGCCGATGAGGAATATGTTTCCCCCGCTGATGCCGCTGCAGCGCTGAAAGATAGCGTAAGTTTAATGATTTTTTACCAACTTCACCTTACCTAATAAGGTATTATCCTTTCTAGTCACCATCACCCCGTTTGGGAGATGGTTCTATTGCTGGAGCTGAAAATGGAGGCCGAAATTCACCAGCGCCTGGAGTGCAGAGCAATGGCGGATCCGCCTGTGCATCGGGCACCAGTACACCAAAGTCTTCTGTCACCCCGGAGGAGTACTTCACTCCGGAGGTGGATCTGCACGGAAGGGACGTTGGCGGTCCCAAGAATTTGAGCACAAAGGTGCAGCGCTTTAAGGCCAACTTGTGGCTAGCCGAGGAGCACCCCATTCGACTGCAGGAACAGGTGCTGCCCATTCTTGACCTCATGTCCACCATGGCCAGTCCACATGTGTCCAAGCTGAGGGACTTTATAACCATGCAGCTGCCAGCCGGTTTTCCCGTCAAAGTGGAAATTCCGCTCTTCCATGTCCTCAACGCTTGCATCACATTTGGAAATGTATTTGCTTTAACCACGCCAGTGGAGCACGTGTCCACACTGCAGGAGCAGGATCGAGTTACCTGCCTGGTGGACGATCGGTGCTTTGATGTCCCATCACACTATACAAACAGAGGCAGCGATGCCCGCCGTCAGATTCCGCTCGATGAGGACGATATGCTCCAGTATGCCATAGAGCAGAGCTTGGTGGAAACTAGCGGAGCGTGTGGCGTTGATGCCAGGGACGACGACAAGGTCGACATCTGGGAGGTGCTAAGGGGCCAAAACGTCGTGGGATCCGATCTCCTGCCCGAGGATGATGAGCAGCTGCAGCGGTAAGTCGGTGGGATATATTTCCCCTTGCAGATTAATGTTAGTTTATTGTAGGTCAGTTTGTACTTGCGCTTAAAGGGAATAAGTTTTCCTTTACATTGAAGAGTACTAGGTTTAGGCATTGATTTGGTTCACTAACTAATTCATAGAGGTAATCTGCAAGGGTTTTAAGCTTCGGTTTCCGAAGGCAGTTATTATTTTGTTCTTTAACCGAAACTAACAACTGTTAATGGTAATGCTAGTGGCCACCGCTTCTCCTCGCACTTACTGTCGCCCCACCATCAGCAATACGGGCGGTACTCGCCCTCACCCAAGCACCATCCTCAATCCTTTCCCCACTCGCAACTCCAGCTGGAGCCACAAACACGTGGACGATCCGCTTCGGCGGGTGCGCAGTTCAAAAACGATTTGGGCTACATGAAGAAGATCTTCAAGTAGCGAAAAGAAACCATTCCCCTCCTTTTGTATTGCTAGTTTTGATCCAAGCTTTGTGTGTTCTTGTGCCCTTTTTCCATTGTCCATTGCAGAGTCCTCCAGGAATCTCTGCTGGGCGCTCATGCGAATCCGCAGAGTGGTTCGCCCGCCTCCGAGGACGACGACGACGGTGGATTCCGGTACGTGGATCCGGATTTGGCCATGGCCATGCGACTGTCGCAGCAGGAACAGAGGAAATTCGAACTGGAGCGTCAGCAGGAGCAGGAGATGATCGAACAGGCGCTGAAGCTCAGTCTGCAGGAGCACTAATATCCAACCAGCGATTCCAAATTGAAGTTTTTTTTGATTTCTAGTGTAAACTTCGGACTAAGTTGTATAAATAATACGAGTACTTTAAGTTCCCCTCGCATCCTTCTCCGCCCCTTGTCCTTGTTTTGAATTGTGATACAAGCGGGACACAAGCGGGAAGCTGTCGCCTGGTCTCAACTCGTCCACTCGCAACCGAAGGATCCACCCTCTACACACCGTAAATCCAAAGTAGTCCTCGTAGCCGTAGCTTTTGCAAATGTATCTGGTATCTGATAGATACTGTCTTAAATTTAAGTGCGTGTGGTAAGGGAAAGATATACTGTGTATCCTCCGCTTCGGTTAGAACCACTTTGCTGACCTCTAACCGATTGACCACATGTGTGCGTGTCCTTAATCTGTATTCAATAATCAGCATTAACCATAATTTATACTAATCAACACCCACTCTCACATCATGCGCATGTAAGCAGTCACCATTTTGTGTAAATGAAGAAAATATATGGAAATAATCATCAGAAAAACAAGGTTTCGTCACTTAGCGATATAGTTTCGTTTATTAAGCACTATATACAAAGTCAAAATCGGTAGATAACTTATGCTAGTTAAGCAAGAAAAGTCTCTGAATTCGTTTTGGTATTTAATCAAGATATGCAGCTTGTTTCCTAATTCTACTTTCCAAGATTTCGATCGGGTGAAAGCCATATTAAGCAAAGCAAAATAATGATTCAAACTAAAGCGAGCTGTATAATCTCCACTGGCTTATCAGCGACTACACTTAGGTCAAAACAGAGTATATACATAAGGGCTTGTTCAGGTTTTCACAGACTAAAAGTTTTGTTCGATTTGTAATCACTTTTTGTGATGGTAATTTTCTACCTAGAAATTCATTTAAATAATGCCGAAAATGTTATTGCATTTTTCTAAGACAAAATAAGTCGGCTGTTTCGTATTGCACTTCTTTGGTTAACATTATAAAATAAAAACATAGATCTTTTACAGACACTTAACATTTATAAAAAAAAGGAAAGGATTTTTTATAAACCTTATTTAATCCTTTAGAATTGAAAAGGGTCTGCCATTTCATACTTTTTAGACCTTCCTACTAAATTCTAAATTGAATATGTGAAGACCCGAACAAGCCTTATAAGTAGTACTTACGTCTAAGAGTCATTCAGCTGGTGATCACTTCGTTGTTGTAAGTGAAGTGGCCGCCGTTGTCGGAATTGGGGTTTTTGGGGTTCAGTTTTACGACTAGATGTACTTGAAGCACTTCTGCTTGTCGTGCGGGATACGAGTCTTGAAGAGGATGGAGTCCGCCCGGAACTGGGTGTTCAGCAGGGGCGTATAGCCGAACACCCGGCTGAAGAAGTTGATGCACTTGTGCCGCTCCTGGAAGTGGGTGTCGTCTTCGCTGAGAGAAACCGGGCAGCCCGGGCAGCGGAATGTCCACCTGGAGGTCACTTTCACCGGAGGTTTTCTCGTTATGTGGGACACGAGGAAGTTCATGGCAATGTCCTCGCAATTCATGTACTCATCCACTTTATCCCTGATCGCTTGAGGCAGGTGATAGGAGTACAAATAGAGATAGTACTTGTGCACGAACGCTGCTCCCGTTAAAACCATGCTAAGTTCGCAGCTGTAGTTGGAGTTGTAGTGCCACTGGCCATTGGGATTGCCCAAATCCCATGCGTGGTAGCGTCCTGGAAAGCCAACAACTCTATCTCGATGTTCTCGCCACACGCGGAATCCAAATAGGATCTCATCATGACGTAAATGGGCATCATCGTCAACCGAAAGCACAGCCTCCGTTTCAATAACATCGAAGGGCAAGAATCGGTTGTTTAGCGAATTCCTGGGAGCCCGGAGCACGGCCACCGGAACACCAATATCCGGCCAGCGTAGGTCGTCAAGTGGCGGTTTGGGTGAATTCCACACCACCACCACTTTGTGCAGGTAAGGCAATCCATACAGTCTGCCCAGTGAATCCATCAATACCTGCTCTCTTTCGTAGGTCAACATCACGATGGTGAACTGCTCTCGTGGGTAATTTCCACCCAGCGACTCTCCGAATTCCTTGCCCGCTCCTCCGAGTCCTTTGCCTATCGGCCGGAAGCCAGTGTGCGATCCCATGAACTTCGCTTCCGAAGGCAGCGCAGGATCAAAAGGCAACTGCGGGTAGAGGTAAAACGGATCCAACCAATCGTTCCAGGCTTCCTTAGCCTGCATCCGCAGTATTGTGTAGTTCCGTCGGAAAGCGGGACTTGGATATGGTGGTTCAATGGGGCCCAAGGACTCCTCTGGTTCCGTATCCAAACCAACGGGGGATCGGATTTCAGGGGTATAAAGGTGCTGTTGAAAACACTCTGCGCTATGACTGATGGCACTGGTCTTGGTGGGATCCCCAGGCGATCCCTCAGACTTGCAATCACCGTATCCACGGTGGCCTGCACGGAGCTCAAGTATCGCTCCCAAATCAGACGTCCCTGGCGGCGCAACAGCAGTAAATCCGCATCCTGAACGGCCCTTAGGAGAAAATGCAGTTCAGTGATCCTCGCTTTTGGCAGCAGAAGAGCCGCTCTCCTCCAATCAAGAGTCTCGGCGTAAGGCAATCGCAATTCATCAGCACCAAGGATTACAGGAACTGCTCCCGAACGGAGTGCCTCGTAAATTCTAGCCAGCATTAAAGTGGAGGAGACTCTCCCATTCAAAGGAGGTAGAATCAATGAAAAGGTGGAGTCCTTGAGCAACTGACGGCGCGAGGAATCTGAGCCACATAGCGTCCAATCCGGCAGGGAGTCTCCCTCCTGCTGCTCCGTAGCTGGGATGCACTGGAACTGAAGAACGAACTGATCCTGCGTAGCTCCTTTGGCCATATCCGCCAGGTGTTCGAGAATAAATGCATCCAGGGGAGTCAGACTACTTTGTTTGGGCCGCAGTTCTCCTTGGTAGGTGAGTAGGTACTTCCTTCTGGCCGGCACCATTTCAGCGCACTCCTGCCACACATCTCCCCCAGGAGGACCTAAAATGGGCGGCACAATCAGGTCGTAACCGGGACGGAATTGATCCCGTTCAAACGCACTCTGCACCACGATGGCTCGCATGGTGTTCTGCTTGTGCAGGGGATTCGTGCGATACGAGGTGAGATCTCTGCGTGCCAAGTTGAGCAGCACATGGTTGCGTCCGTCGCCGCCCCAATATGGCAGGCTATAAAGCTGATGCATGTCCACTGGGCACTCATTGGCATGACTGGGTGTGGAGGGCTGTTGATGCTCTGCTTCCTGAGCCGCATAGCGATTGTTTCGCAGGAGATCCTGCTCGAGCAGAGCCTCTCCCACCAGCACCAGATAAATGCAGGCCTGCTTGGGATCCTTAACAATATGGGCATTGTACCCCAAAGTCTGTTTCAGTGTGGTTTTCAGGAAACCATCGATATCGTACCCTTTCCTCTGCACGCTGTGTTCATCTGGATCGTAGAGATAGACGGGAAACCCGGAGGTGAGACTGCAGCGCGAGTGGTTAAAGCAATTGTGCATCTCGCAGCTTGCTGCCATCCCTCCAGTTATGGGATTTATCTTTCTGGGCAGCATGTTGGGCAAAAGTGAGCGAGGTAGCGCCAAATCCGGGGTATTCCGTTGAACTGCCTCCCGCTGGGCCACTTGTGCTTGCTCCACTGAGATCTTTAGGCGCTCCAATTCCGTTTGCTCCCTCAGGAGCTCCTGTTTCAGCTCCTCAATCTTCTGGTTGTACTGGCTGATGTCCGATTGCAGCTTTTGTCGACGGGATTCCAATTCGCGGAGCTCCACGGACACGGTGCTCTGTTTGAAAGGGTCATTAGTCATTGAAGGTCTTGTTACAATTTTCAAGCACTTACTTTGATTCTAACCATCTCCTCGATGCGCATTTTTAGATCTCCTGCTCTCATGGCACTGAAATCCTCGTAGGCATCCAAAAGCGGTGAGCTGCGATGAAGATCCAAAGGTGGGGCATCTTGTTCAGCCTAAAAGAAATAGGGCTATCAGTGGAGCAGTGGCTCAAGGAAATTGGATAACTATTTAAATAGATTAAATTAATGCTATAAACAGAATTCTGACGTTATCTTCATTCTAAAATGATGACCACTGTTGCGGTGCTACCACTTGTTATCTGTGTTCCGCAAGGCAGTTCACTTCCGGGTTACTCAAGATGCTGAACCCAGATTACTTACGCTGAGGATTCGGTACGCCAAACAGGATACGAGAAGCAGGAGCATGAGGAGCACCACAGGCAGTTTGTAGCGACGAAACTGGCGCATCCAGGACGTCCGTAATCCCATCGGGTGGCGGATTTGGGCGGAGGATGATGTGCAGTTCGGAGCACCGGCGTCCTTGCCGCTGTCCAGGGGGTGGTACGCCTCATCGGAGCGGTCAAGGTCGTACGCCGGGGACATGGCTCAGCTCGCGATCTCCCCAAAATAATGCATTTATTTACAATTATTTGTGAGTTCGCTTAGTTTAGTTGGCAACGCGGACCAGGGATGCGTTTTTATTTCTTCGTTTTCGATATTTATTTGTGAGATGTGGGGCAATACTTATCGCCGATAAACGTTATCAGTTTAGCGCGCCAAAAATTTGAATTACTTACGTTTTCGATGTGTTTTATTTTGTCTAAATTTGCATACTGCATACATAAACCAGTGGTCATAAAATGTTTACTCTTAGTTAATCTTGAGCATGCGTTTTTTTTTAATAAAGACTTTAAAGATCGCTATTTAAAAAATATCGTTTAAAATGTTAAATTGTATCTAAAATTTACGCCTTTGACAGTTCTAAGTTTTTATTTTATTTTAATAATATGAAAATAGTATTCTATTGTCTAATGATTTTAAACTGCTACTCCATCGGTTCAATTTTAGCAAGATTTATGATAACATAACGATTCCAGCTGCCAAGAGTTTTCAGAGGTAATTGCAGTTTAGGTGCCTTAATAAGTCCAGTGTATTGTTGCTTAACATTTTGTTTGTTATTGTAGTGCTATCAGATTTTTGAAACGACCGCCGAAGCAAGACGGGAATTCCAGCTAACAGTCGCACAACGAGCTCGCTCTCAACAGCGAATCAACAGTTTATGTTGAACGGCGGGTCCAATGCGTCAGTCGGATTTTGAACGCGACTTAGTACACATAGTTTGCGATTTTAGTCGCATCTTAATCAGCGGTGTGCCGGTTTCGTGGATTGCGGTTCGGTTGTCGTTTGGTTTGTTTGTTTAATTACCGGCAGAACGCTTAAAACGATTATTTATAGCCGCGAAATGACTGCCAACTTTTAACCAGACGTTTTCCCGCTTTAATTACAACCGATAGAGTTCCTAACTGCACAAAACTACACCAGAATTTAATTATAACCCCACAGACACATCCATCAAAAGCCGGAATCCTGCACGGAATATTCCAAAATGGGTAAACGCTTCTATAAATATTTACTGTCGGTGACATTTTCACTTTCTTCGCTCGCCCATTGATTCTTTTCTTTGCTTTGGGCCTGCTTTTGTGGGCCGGGCCTTGAAAGTGAAAGCCAAACGCTAGGAAAATGGCAATAAGCGTGGGTACATTCCACCGATACCCTAAAATTTAGCACTCAAAGGTGCGATTTATCAGCGAATTGTCATAAGATTATTGTTTACTTAAAGTCTGAATGGTCTTAACTATTTTGAATCTTGCTTAACCTTTTTTTATATTAATAAATATGTATATAATATTGTACTCTTAAAGTTCATAAGGGAACTTGCATTTATCCCGTTCCAATTATTTTTAATATATTGTATTAACTTCTAAACTTTGTTGGCGGATGATTTGCTTTTTAATACCTTTCCTTCAATTTGATAAGATATCAAAACCACATGAGTTCTTTGTTTAAAGTTCCTTAACCTTTTTAATTTATAATTTTAAAATATCAATTGTCTCGGGTAAGATTTAGCAGTTTTTTTCAGACCAGTAAACAAAGGTTATCTTAAAATATTGAGATTAGAATCATTAGTTTCAGATAACCTTTGTTAGGCCTTATTAGGTTAGGCAAATGTTATTGAACGAATGGGAAAATTATGCGCTTGTAAATTAATACAATAAATAATAATATTTAAATCAAAATGATTACATATTTGTTTACTGAACAAAGAACGTCAAAGGTTTCTTACTTTTGTCGTTCTTAAATTATTAAGAAATAGTACAAAGGGTTTCTTACTTTGGTTTTTATGACTATTAATAAATAGTTCTGAGTCTATTTGGATCAACAGCTAAACCATCAATATCTGTCAACTTTTTTACTAGGGGGAGTACTAACTTCCGCATTTCGTTCCCAATCAAGACTAATTAAACTCCAGTTCGAGAACAGGCCAGCAACACTTAATTGAAACTTAGACCCTTCCTCCTCACTTTTAGTACACTCTTTTTTATGTACAGTGAAACCAGCGTAAAATAAATTTACTATATGTAGGTTTACGTTTTGTGCTTGCAGTATTTCCCCAAAATGTTCTGTCTGTCAAAAATGTAGATTTTTACTTCGAAATGGGGTTTTGCTAAGTTTAAACTTCCAATCTGTAGTTTCTTAAGTTTTTTATATTTATATTATATATATTATTATATTATATATATTATTATATTGTATATATTATTATGTATTTTTGAATTTCCGGATAAAAGCTACATAAAATCAAATTTATGAATTCTTAGAACTTTATCATACAAACCTCTTGAGATTAAATTTGATTTCCGTAAATATTTTAACTCGAGGTTTATTTTAAACAAAATATGGAACCCATAGAGTGGATTTTTAAATTAAAGTGCTTGTAGCTGGACTGTATGGTAGTCAGGCCTGATTCGTTGACACCGAATGACGAGTGTTTGTGGATTTGGAGCAAGCGGCTTCGGCTTGGGCTTCGTCTGCGGCTTATCGGGTTGAGGGGGGCTTAATTAGGGGCACATTCAGTGCGTGTATTCCTACAGCCATCGCACACCGCCCCCACCCCCCACTCCACCCCGCTGCGATGGACGAACCCCAACCCTTCGACCTTTGCCGGCGGCAAGAAGCCAGCGGTCGCAATTGCCTCGCCCATTAATGGCACATCCGCCATAGGCTTCCGCGGATCCGGACTCGGGATTCCGTAGTGGATTCAGTTACGCCGCATCGCCGAACGTAGCCGCAAGAAACCGGCTCTCTCCGGGCAAAACAATTGCGTACGGGTTTCGGGATCCAAAAATCTAGGTCCCTCGGCCAGTCGACATGCATTTGAAGATCCGTCTCAGGTGTCGTAAATATGGAATTTGGGGTAAGCGCACTTGGCCCTGCGTCGATTCTAGATATGTATGTGTACGAGTATTATATTCTGGCTCGGATTGGATCGGTTTGGATCGTGGTGGCAGTGGCTCCACTGCCCTCCATTCTGGCGTTAATTTAGTTCGTAACGGTGCATCGCCCGCTGTGCCGGGCATTTTAATATCGGAGTTTCGCCTGGTTTTTGGGGCCTTTAAAAGCCCCAAGCGGTGCAAGTGTCCCCTCAGTCGGTTTCGGTGAGCAGTGGGTGTCGAATCGCAGCAGGATAGTGATTTTTATTAGCCATGTGTAAGTCCAGTGTTCCCATTGCAAAACGAAGTGTAAAGAGTGCCTTATCACATTTTGATCAACAAAAGAATGTGTTTCCCTAAAACCCAAAATATCAAAGAACTGAAAAATGAATACAAGTTTTTATCTTATCTACTGAATTAAAGAATAATTCAAACCTAACAAATACATAACTCAATTAAAAAGTTTATGTTCTTTTTTAAGGTATAACACTTCGGTTGAAAAGAATTTTTAATTTACATCTTTTTTTTTAGTTACCTTACTTATTACTTTATTAAAAGTGCAAGCTTAGCGGTGCAACTTAAGTTGATTTAATTGAGCAATGGGAGGATTGTCTTTAATTGCTATTGGTAAGATCGAAAATCAAAATAAAGGGATACTAGCATGAGAATGATCTATGCATGCTTGAATTGTATTTTCAATTTGTTATGGAATTTCCTTACTTACTAGTTATTTTGGTAATTTACTACGAGTGCTAAAATTTCGAATAAGGAATCATATATGGAAACTGCCTTAAATGAGTAAAAGTCGTTGTTTATTAGCACCCTACCAATTTTGAGTTATTTTTCCGATGAAAACGCTTATTTTTAGTATAAGGGGTATGATAATTCATTGAATTTACCGCGTCATATTTAGTAGTATAATAATCATATGATTCAATGCTTTGAATAATTTAAATGCAATATCTATGAGCCATTTCCCAGAATGTTTATATTTCTTCTGATTCAGTTGTGTGCAGTTCGGTGTTTAAAATAGTTTAAATTCTTATAGTAACAAGAGAGAATACTTTAAGATATTACCTGTAGTAAACTAAAATTTTAAACGAGGAATACAAAATCAAAAACAGGTTATCCTAAGATAAACCAATTGAATCGATGGCTCATCGATCTGTGATATCGACCGTTGGCATTTGGGGAGCTTTCCCTCAAGCTTTTCTTTGTGTCCCCAAAACTAGACAGCTTTTGCCGATTAGACAGCTGATTACCTGGGGCCAAACATGTGAGACGAGTTAAATGAATGGAGGAAGTAGTTTCCCGGCGACCAGTGAACGTGAGAGAACGGGGGCAAAGTTCTCGGTTTCTTTTGGCTGCATGCGTATTATGGGATTGTGGCGGTTTTTGAAATGTTCGTTTTTCTTCTTTCGTTCTCTTTGGAAAACGTGTTTAACTAGCAAAACAAAGTGCCCAACAATTCGCCCGACATTTGCATAATAACAAAACCAAAACAAAAGCCGAGAAAATACAAAAGTAAAGCAGAACATGAATAAAAACAATAACAAAATCAGAGAACGATGACACATGCTTGTAGTTGTATCTGTAGCTAAACTTGTGATTGTATCTGCGTTTCTGGGAGAGAGCGAAAAAGTGCTTTCACTCTTTTCGCTCAGCACCTTGAAAGCTCGGCTCTCCGATTTCGCCCTTCTGCTTTATGCCGCTCATTCGCATTGTTCGACACTTTGTTTTGCCCATTGTCCTGATCGTGTTGTAGTTGCTTATATAGTAAAGTTTACGATTTCATTTCCGTTTCCCCTTGATTCAATACTCTTCGTTCCGTTTCGATTCGCCCGCCGACTTTGAAAATCGGATAAACCCATTGTTGAAGTAAGTATAAATGTCGCCGCTGTACAGCATTTACCGCTATAAAGCAGCTGACATTGGACAACATTAAATAACTAGGTAATAGGAAAAAACGGCATAGAAGGGCGATAAGATATGCGGACAATTTATTTTATTTTTTGTGAACTTACAATGAATTGCCATTAATGTACCGATAGCCATAGCATTAGGCCATAGGAGGTGGTATATAATTAAAAATGTTTTTTTAAAACAAAACTCTTTGAATGTCTCCGAGTAAGAATTTAAAAAACTATAATTTTAAAATTGCCAAAAGCAAAAATTGTTTATGATTGCATAAAAAAAGATGAAAACAAGAAAATAAATTAAGCATAAATAATTAAAAATACAGTTATGTATTTAATATGCAGTATTTCCTTTTCCCGTTAGACTTTTTATTTGATATTTTGTCTTTGGTCACCCTGATGAAGATGTCTGCTTATCAGCAAAATCAATCAATGAATAGTTCTATCTGTTATAATTCGCAACATTAATATTTATTTCGACTCTTCGCGTAGCCAGTCGTGCAATTATCGTATATTAAACTTTTCTGTAACCAAAATGTTCAACCAAGTTCGATATTTTCCCATTTTCCCACTTACATCGCGCGTGTCGCTGTATAATCGAGCTTTTCTGCTTATCAGGAGGTGGAAATTCCTGATAGCCAAAATAATTACCGCCATTATCGGTGTGTTATATTCACACGCACGTATTTAACTTATCTCCAACATTTTATTCATCATATGTACTTATGTATCCACAGCTCTCTCCTTTTTCTCCCTGGTTACTGGTCTCTATGTCCTGCACTTCTCCATAGCGCTGATCCTCGTGAACAAGGAAGTGCCCCAGACACGCGGAATGCTCTATCCCAGGGAATCAGAGACGCGGGAGGTGCGATCCCTGGACGGGATCTGGAACTTTGTGCGGTCCGACCAGGCGAATCCCACGCAGGGAGTTCGCGATGAGTGGTACGCCAAGGAGTTGAGCCAGAGCAGGCCGACGATCCCGATGCCAGTGCCCGCCTCCTATAACGACATAACCACCGATAACTTGCGGGATCATGTGGGCACCGTGTGGTACGACAGGAAGTTCTTTGTGCCCCGCTCCTGGGAGAAGGATCAGAGGATCTGGCTGCGGTTCGGCAGTGTTCACTATGAAGCCTATGTGGTGAGTCATTAAAATTTGAAATGGCAATAAAATTCATTTCTTGTTACAGAATTTTGTTAAGAAATGCATTGTTTTAAGAAAAAAAATTATGATAGCTTCTGAACCATTTTCTTTTGTTTTTCTTTCAGTGGATCAATGGCCAGAAAGTAGTGAAGCACGAGATGGGCCACCTGCCCTTCGAGGCGGAGGTGACTGACCTCCTCAAATACGGAGCTGAAAACCGCATCACCGTGATGTGCGATAATGCTCTGATCCAGACAACAGTGCCGCAGGGAAAGATCACGGAGGTTCCCAACGATGGAGGGATGACCATCGTTCAGAGCTACACCTTTGACTTCTTCAATTATGCGGGAATTCACAGGAGCGTGCATTTGTACACCACACCCCGCACTTTCATTGAGGAAGTTGAAGTAAAGACCAATCTTTCGGGAGATGCCACAGGTAGGATATTTCTTGCTACTATATTCCTGGATTAACCAATTTCCTCTATTACAGTTGGTGAGGTTTCCTATAGCGTGAGCGTGAATGGAAGTGCTGCCAACGAAGCCGATAATGTCCTGCACATTCAGGCCAACCTGTACGATAAGGATGGTGTGTTGGTGGCTAATGCAACGTCGGATGGGAAACTCGGTGGCAAGCTGCAGGTGAACCAAGTGAAACCCTGGTGGCCTTACCTCATGCATCCCGATCCCGGTTACTTGTACCAGTTGGAGATCAAACTGTTGGCCACCAACGACGAGCTGCTAGATGTCTATCGCCTCAAAGTGGGAATACGCACCTTGAGTTGGAACAAAAAGCAGTTCCTGATCAACGGAAAGCCTGTTTACTTCCGTGGATTCGGACGCCATGAAGATGCTGATATCAGGGGCAAAGGATTGGATAATGCTTTGATGGTTCGAGACTTCAATTTGCTCAAGTGGATCGGAGCCAATTCCTACCGTACTTCGCATTATCCCTATTCCGAGGAATCGATGCAGTTTGCGGATGAGCATGGTATCATGATCATCGATGAATGTCCCAGTGTGGATACGGAGTTAAGTTATTCTAATTAATGTAAGTGCTACTAACTAATTTATTGTTTTGTTTTTCAGGAACTTCAGCCAGGAACTTTTGGGCAAGCACAAATCTTCGCTGGAGCAACTCATCCATAGGGATCGGAATCATCCCAGTGTGGTGATGTGGTCCATTGCCAATGAACCTCGAACTGGCAGCATGAGTGCAGATTCGTACTTTGAGTGGGTCCCCTTAACTTTATATAGATGTTTCTTAGACTTATTTGCTTCTTTATATCTTGCAGATTGGTAGCGAATTTCACTCGATCTTTGGATAGTTCCAGACCGATTACGGCTGCCATTGCCACTCCGTACACACAAGACAAGGCAGTAAATAGTTTTTGCATTCACTTCAGAACATGTTCTATATATTGTTTCTCTCTAAGGGCCGTTCTCTGGACATCATCAGCTTCAATCGCTATAATGCCTGGTATTCAAATACAGGACGTCTGGACATGGTGACTCAAAACGTGGTCGATGAAGCTGTCGCCTGGAACAAGCATTACAACAAACCGATTATCATGTCTGAATATGGAGCAGATACTCTGGAGGGTTTGCATATGGTGAGTATGGATCTGCATTGGGATTGAAAACATTGAAAACAGCTTTTCAATTTATAAGAAAATATTAGAGAACTCAATTAACAAATTTATTTGAGATTATTCATATCAGTTTTTTAATGAGATATATTTTTTTTTGTCGTCAGCAACCTGCTTATGTTTGGTCGGAGGAATTCCAAACGGATGTGTTTTCCCGCCACTTTAAGGCCTTTGATGAGCTCCGCAAAAAGGGCTGGTTTATCGGCGAATTCGTTTGGAACTTTGCAGACTTCAAAACAGCTCAAAGTGAGTTACTATTTATCAGTAATTTCTTAAGTGATTTCAATATTTATACATCCTTTTTAATTCAGGTTATACCCGAGTGGGCGGCAATAAGAAAGGCGTCTTTACCCGCGCCCGCCAGCCAAAAGCAGCTGCCCATCTCCTTCGAAAGAGATACTTCGCCTTGGGAAGGGAATTGGACCAATGCAGCTTCCCGGAGGATCTCTTTACCTACATCGCTGACCTGATATCCTAATGAATTGAAAAATGTTAACACCAACCCAAGTATTTGGCTTCTGTAAATAACCTTACTCGCCAGGGAAAAGATTCTCCTTGGTTGCTGCCACCTAGGAATTGCATTTTTACCCGATTTCCATTCCGTTGCATTGCCTTGTACAATATAAAATACTTAGCCTTAACTGATTGTATTTTTGTATGTATTTGTAAGAGTAAGATAATAAATCAAAGTGCATTATTTATATTTACCCGAAGGAGCTAACATTTTGCAATATTGAGCAAGCTGTGCAAAAGTAGTTTTAAAATCCGCAGGTTTGGCGGTTTACTATCGATTGCAAACGATAGTCAAGAGATATCTCGTCAAGAATTTTGAGCTGGCAATACCTTTTTTACAGGGCGGGATTTTCAAATCTTAAAAAAAAGCACAATATGATATGGCAATAAATTAGTTGCATAAAATCCCTGATTGAAATTATTCAACACCTGAATACCTTCCTGTTAAAAAATAAAACAGAAAAACTTCTTTCTTGCATGAAAGTTGAATTTTTATTTAAGTTGCAGCCAATGAATTTTATAGTAATCTCGTTATTTTAACTTATGCTGTTTGTTTAGCAAAGATCCCAAAACTCGACTCGCATACGAAGCAATAATTCTTTTCAAAATGCGCGCCAATTTGTTTGAACCGATAATAAAAAAGTAAGTAAAGAAAAAATAAAAGCAATTGCCTTCGGCAAATTTAGCTAGAAAATCGTGTGGGTGTCAGTTCGAATTATTGCAGAGTATGGTTCCAGTGGGACTTGCTTTATTTCTATTGGTATTTGGTATTTAAAGATAGACAGATCTGCGAACACTTAGTGACTAGGTAATGATGTCGGTTTAAAGATTTCGTAGAGTTTTGATTTTGGTTTTCGAATAGTTCGCATGGTAGTTTACTGAAGGTGAAACAGCGTGATATTTGCAGTTTCCCTCCGCCTAATCTTAACTAACATACTATATATGTCATTATTCAATGTATTTTCTTTCGTGTTCGTTTGGTTTAGCTAATTACGTTTTACCCATTTTTCCCGAAAGTAGTTTGCTCATCAAATATTACACGTTATTCGAACTGTTTTACTTACAAGCTACGTAATATGCCAGCTTATTCAAAGAAATCCTCAACACACAATTACCGATCTAAACATATACGTAATAGTACAACAGTTTTAAATGTAATTTACCTAGGTGTGGCTTTAACAATACGTTTAAATTTCATTTAAACTGGCTTCCACCGGTTCGATAAGTTATAGATCCTATATCAATATTACAGTTTAGTACGATGCTCAACAAATGTGCTTAGGCCTAAGGTGCATATTCGACCGTCGATCGATACGCACATTAAATGTTTCTAGCTGGGCTATACATAATCGAGTACTCGCTTCAGTTATAACGATTCCAATGCCTTGGTTCCCATTTCCCCAATCTAGTCCCCCATTCCGTTCTTGAAGCAGAGGATAGAGACAGAGAGTCTAACAACTAACGTAGTTATGAGTTATACAATTCACGGTAAGTTGAAAAACACATAAAAATTGGTAGTAGATTGCTCTATATGTCAATTATGCGGTAGTGGCTTATACGTCTAGTTATTTTGATTAGATACTTTTGTATTTACTGGTGGCATCTCCTCACAATTCCACTTCTTGCTTCTAAAAACAGTCTCCACTTGGCTCTATAAATTTAGCTATATCTAACAGAATATATTTGCATAGGTTAACATCAATTCGATCCGCTATTTACACACTTAATAACTATGGGCTATGTGACTTCCTTCTCGGATCCTTCATCCTCGTTTTTGTTTTTTATCGTCTTTGGTATACAAGATGCGTTAATCCTCGCCTGGTTATAGCCGAAGAGGTTAGATCAACATCCGCTTGTCGGTTTAGCAGAAGCGTCTGCAAAGATATAGCAATCCGGGAGATTCATTAGCAAAGTGTGAATTGCTCCAAGGGGGCACAAAACTTTTGCATTCACGGAAAAGTTCATTGAAATGGTAAGGCGCCAAACTAAGCAAAATTTCTCCAAATTAATGTTACTTAATTTAACTTTCATGTTGCCTTTGGAAATGAGAGCGAATGAATGGCAAAGATTTAACTGCTGCCACACGCAGATGGCTTTTCCTTCAGCAATGCAAATGGTAACTATTCAAAACTTGTGCGCCCTCTTTGTAGATAAAATTTCCCACTTCCCACTACCCACTTCCCGATTTGGATTTGGTTTTGGGCTATGGCTTTTTGCGGGGGGTGTTTAACTGGGTAATGTGGCATAATTCTAATGCATTGACCAACATCGCAGCGTGCAGATGACAGGTCCGATAAAGGTCTGATAAAACTTTCGCTGTTGGCCCAAAAGTTCTTCACCCGTTGTAAATGTAAAGCCAACAATGGATTCAATCCCAGCAAAAAACTCCCGAAACTCCTTCAGATGCTGCAGCCACATCTTCTCCTCTCCTCTCAACTCAAGCAATATCTATTTCGGGTCAGGTTTCAAGCATTGGAAATTGAAACTTGCCAGCCAGAGACAATAACATAAAATGAATGCAATTGCGTGTGCGTCGAATCGATTGAAAAGGTTTCCCATGGCCGCCGGCCAAATTGACTAACACAATAACCATAAATGGTTACGCAGAAAAACTGTGACATTGTTGTGTCACAATAGAATGATTTTTTAAATTGTAAACAAGATATGTTTGTCGGGAAAGCTAGCAATACTATAAAATAAAACAATGTATGCTTCTATCTTTTGAAAGTGGTTTGAAAATAGTAAACAAAATTGAAGTCTTCACTTGCTTAGGAACTTTTAACGCTTGTAGTTATTTTGAGGCTAATGTTTATACTGCGTTTTTGTCTTGTGTAGGGGTTTTTGAATAAGGAGAAATATAATACTAATATTTTACAAACGAAAGTTAAGCTTATTATCACCTTCGCCTCTTCGCATGCACTATCTAGAGCTTCCCGCTTCTGTAGTGGACTGGTCGGTGGCCGCCGAAGAGGATGCGCTTGAAGGCCTGGCGGAACTCCGGGCTGAAGATGGTGTAGATGACCTGCAAGGGGGTGGCAATTAATATAAAATGTAATGTAAATTGTCCTGCAGTTAATTAAGTTATAACAAAATCTAAGCGTGAATCTTTATATTCGAATCTTTGGTATAAGATAAACTTTTAAGGTTGATTTAACGTGATGACTGTATAACTAATTTATTTTAAATAACCCCAAAGGGTTATGTACCGGATGGGTATAAAATGGTTAAGGCAAAAATCATAATCGGGGTCAATAAATATTCCTTTCTAAAAGCCCTGCTTAAGTTCCTATAAATATGTATGCTAAATTCCCGCAACCGCCTGCTGCACTTTGGCAGCTACTTAGGCATTCATTATTCAATTTACCGGGTTGAGGGTGGAGTTGAAGTAGCCCAGCCAGAGGAAGAGCGAGGCCACGCTGTCGCTGATCTGGCAGGCGGCGCAGAGGGGCATGGTTAGGGCCATGACGAAGAAGGGGAGCCAGCAGACGACGAAGGCGCCGGTGATGATGGCCAGCGTCTTGGCCGCCTTTCGCTCCCTTTTGGCCTCCAGCGTTTCCTTCCGCTTGTTCACCTTTTGCATCGGATTCGCGATGCTCGAGAGTTGCTGCTGCTGCTGCTGCTGTTGCTGCTGCGGGGGCGGCTGCTGTCGGGGGCGTGGCTCTGGGGTCAAGGGGGACTCGCTGGCGGTGCCGCAAAGCGGATGCGATTGGTTACAGCTCGTCAGCGTGCTGGTTTTGGTCGTCATCGGTCCGGCGGCAGCAGTGGCGATTCCCTGCGAAGTCGGCGTTTGTGGCGATAGTGCCGATATCGACGTAATTGTGGTGGCATTTGATGTGCTCGCCCCGCCCCCACCGCCTCCACCAGTTTTGGCCGATTTCTGCAGCTGCTGCACTTGTTCGAGCTGCTGTTGCAACTGCGGATCCTCCAGGACCTCCACCCCATTGGCCTTGCACTGGTCCTCCTCCTCGTTTGCTGCCGCTGGCGTTGCTGATGTTGCGGTTGCGGGCTGCGGCTCATCGGGGTCCTGGTCCTCGCGGTCCTCGTCGTTCTCCTCGTGCTCCTCCCCATCATCCGGCTCCTGGCCGTCGTCCCCCTTGCCCGAGGTGGCCGCTCCGTTGACAGCCGACGCGGACTTGGCGCTGGACTTGCCCTGCTGTTTGGCCAGAGCCACCAGGTGCGACACCGTGGCGATCTGACTGCCCGACGTGCTGGGCGCCTGCAATGGAAGTGGAAGTGGGAGGCCACTCGAGTTAGTTGCAGTCGGGGAAACTAGTCAGCTAATCTAGATAAAATTAGTTCGAGAAAATCATTAACAAACGAAAATATTACCCAAGCATAATCTTAATGTGCACTTTACCAATGTTTGTAGATGGGATTAAAGATGAATAACAATTAATACAAAAAAGTAAGTTTAATCAATATCAAATTCAAAATCAACTTGTTAAGAAATGAATAAAAATGTTACATATTTGATTTATAAATAGTTTTAGCAGACTTCATAAGAACCAACACCTTTTCAATATTAATAAAAAATGTGACATTTGTTTCAACTTCTACAATCTATTCCTGATCCCAGTAAGACTATTTTGCCTGCCTATAATATTATATACAGTCCAATTTTTGAACCGCGGATTCCAAGTTTCATGTGCCAAATTAGCATTTTAAATCAGTACCCGCATTGCATTCATAAATTTATTTACTGCTCATCAAATTTCATGGCGTTGGGGCCATAAATTTTGGTAAATGAATAAAATCAGAGTGTAAATATTTACTTTCGTTAAGCTCGTTGGCCATTTGGGTCTTGGGCCCCCACTCCGTTGCCTTTTTATCAGACCTCTGCCACTCGAAAGGGCTGCTAGGCAATTTCGCCGGATGTAACGTACATATTTGAGGAGCCGGTCCTGCTAACGGCATGTCTAGCACTAAAATTCCCATAATCACCTGTAATTTGAGGCCGAACGTAGGTGTGCGTCGGGCGGAAGTGGCCGCAAAGTGCTAAAATGAACTTTACGTGTGATAAATTGTGTCTACTTCGCAGCTGGCACCTTTTCCTGGCGATAAGGTTAATAAGTATATGGAACCGGAAGTGGAAGTGTAAGTATCGCGATAGTTTCGAATAATAATAATCTGAATGCGATCAAATTCTATACATAAACAATAAACTTGACTATACGAATACGTTTTATTTTTCGTTTTATTTTGATATTGTAAACATTGTATTTTATTTTAAATAGCAAATAATGTAAATATCGAATAAAGGAAATCCTATTAAAGGATCTTAGGGGTGTTATTTTTCTGCCATCACCATTATGCACGAACGTAAGGCAAGTTCAATTAATGGCCAGAGCAAATGAATTTTACGACTGTGATGCTACCATAAATTTCGGAACATATTGTGTTGAGTATGTAATTTGTGTTCAAGAGAAGACATTCAAATTCAGAAGAGTGAAATCTGCTGTTCCGGGAACAATGGATACGTATAGTAAACGAAATAAATCGCTGGACAAGAGCTTAGTTCACATCAAATTCAATGGACATTGGCCAATTGTGCATAAACACAAAGCGACAAAAGTGAAGCCATGGCCACATATGGGTTTGTATTAGAGTGGAATGCCTTGTGATAAAATTAATTAAGCCCTCTTAGCGATGGACTTAAAATAATTTATACAAAAACGAAGAATCAACATAACTTATTTTGGGTAAAAAAATGTAGGTATGCTTAATGATGATGATAATAGTATGAAATGACATGATTCATTTAAGTTGAGGTCCACTCTACTGTGAATTTGTGCAGTGCCATTGTCCTGGAAATCGTAATTGTCTACCGCAATGAAAGCGAGCCATTCGATCTTGTCCTTCGTGGAGCATTTTTAATATGTTGCAAGGACGTATCGCCGTAGCAAAGCAAATCAAAGCCACAGCAAATCAAAGCGAAGCCAGAGACAAATCAACAACAAAGCTTCCGATTGCCAAAGCAAAGAACGCAGTTTAATTTACAGATACCAAACAATAACGAACAATGGGAAAACACCGGGGAAATAGGGAAAAGGGGGCTGCAGATTGGAATACAGAAGACTTTGCAATATTGCACCTGTAGGACATCCAATGAAGCAAAAAAGAAAGAGGAAAAGTTGTAATTTATCCCTTAATTTTCGTTTCGCTTCTGTAATTATAGAGCCAAAATCTCAAATATCCACGGATATTTTGTATCCGTTTCGTTTCGATTTTATATTTGCTGCCAGACGCTTTTTTTCTGTGACTTTTCGGTCATATTTAACGCACACACAACTATAATAAATTTATATATTTGCTTTGGGCCATGCGTGCAAAAGTGTGTTTGTTTATTTATTTGGCCGTCCACTTATTTGCCCAAGAGAAAAGCGACCGAAAGAGAGAGGTGTGTGGAAGCCATTCCCAAGTAAATATTTAATCTCAGGACCAAGATTGTGTGAGTGGATGGGAAAATGGGAAAAAAGGCTGGGAGTTTCTGTTGGCCAAGCGAATGGAAACGAAAGCTGTTAGCCATAAGCCATCAACATATTTTCCTCAATTACTCAAGCGTATTGAGTGCCTTGTTAGGTGGGCCCGGAATCAGAATGGGAATCGCAATCGGAATCCACGGGTCAAGGAGTCAAAGGCCCCCAAAGCCCCCATTTCCATCCCACTCTCTTGCTTTCTCTAACTGACTTTTGGCTCCTGTTGCTATTTTGTTTTCATACCCTTTATTGAGAGGTAGGACTTTGGTGACAAGTTGGCCAGGAAGTGTAATGATTAATCCCGACTTTATATTAAATAAAGACTTTTCTCTTTCTGTGCTGAAAGCATTGAATTAAAAACGAAGTGGCTTTTAAATTGTAGATATTCTTTGAAGGCATTTTGCTGGCATAGAGTATTTAAATCTTCGACCTGCACAGGTGTTTATTCCATTCGTATTTTCATTTGAATCTCCGTTTTCTTACTTTGTGCTCTTTTGTCTCTGTCTCGCTTTTTGCATGGAAGAGCGGTGGAGGCGTATCCTTGTCACAGCTTATATTTGACTTTGCTATTACTTAACCGGCACGAACCTGGCGATTTCGTTCTGCCCCCTTGCCCTCTGACCCCCTGACCTTTGGCCAGTCGCCTTGACTTCGCCACCTCGTTTCGAGCAGCGCAAAGGTATTGGCCCGGCTTGTAGCAATGCAAACAAAACGTTCAAGCAATTTATTTCGGCTCTGCCTTTTTATGGCTTGCTTTCGCCCATCGCTTTAATACGCGTTATTATTGAATGTGTGGCCCCGTTCGGATTATTTTTCAGCCATAAAATCGCTGGCCGAAAATTGAAGTACATAAAATGCGGCTAAATACAAATTTGGGTTCGGGCCATCTGCCCTTTCCTCGGGATTTCCCCCAATAAACCGAAAGCTTTGCCTGCATTTTATCGCTGACATTTTGGCCGAGTGGCGGATAATTTGCCTGGATTGCTTGGGTTTATTCTTAAGAGTGGGCTTCTTATCCTAGCACTCAAGGCGGCATAATTATCAATTTTCCATTTATTTCTTAATTGGTTCAGATATTAAAAAAGAATTTAAACGTTTTAGAATGACTAATGTTAATTTACATTTGCATTGTATTGTATTTGTAAAATGGATCTTAACATGCTTATTATTTTTAGCTTCTATGTTTCGAAATGTATACATCTGATTATTCATGTGCACAACATTAAAACACGTTCTCTACTTTATTAAAAGTTGAGTTGACTCTTATTAATATTCTATGAGACAGTAAAACTCAAAATTCAAGAGGCAGAGTCGTCAAACCTTTAAGCTTTCGCCTAGAAATATGTATAATTCATTCGCTCCGCAAGAAGTATGTCTCAAGGAGACAAGGAAAAGGTTAATCGCATCCCCGCATCCCCTTGGATCATTATCAGGAAATGTTTCCCGAGGAATTCTCAAGTGCATATTGCTGCGACGGCAGCTGGGCTAATGAAACATTAGCCGAGTGAAAAAAGGCTGGGAAACGGCTGCCCAGGAGGGGAAAGCCCACTGAAAAGGTAGCCAAGAGGAAAAATCATTTCAATCCCCCAAAGGTAAAAGACGTCCGGGCAGCGGTAGCATCGTAGTTGGAGTCGCATAATAAAGCGAGAAATGAGCTGAACTCTGGTGGGTTTATTTTCGGTCAGCCTATCGCCAGCAGTATCTGTATGTGTGTTTTTGTGATTGTGTGTGTGTTTTTCATTATTGTGTGCGTGTGCATTTTGGGAACAGGAAGCAAAGCCCCAGATCGTTGGGCACATGTCAGGCGTTATGAAATTTGTTTTAAACCCAAAAATGCGCATTCTTTTCCATGGTTCACTCGAAAAAATTGTTGTTAAAAAGCAAAGCTTAAAAGCGGCTCATGGCATAAACGTTTTTTTCCCTAGATTTTTAATTTCATGATTTAATTCCACACCTTTTTAACGAAAATTTATTAAAATAACATAATAGTCGGACTTTTCTAGTTCTTGGAAAGCTGTATATTTCTATATCGGGGTGTTATCATATAATTATTCAAAACTTCTAAAAAATTAAAACTTGTCGGCTTGTATAATCACCTATATAAACTTAAACAGAACTTGACTTAAAAAAATGTATTTAGAAATGAAATATAATTACAATTAAATTAAAAATCATAGTACAAACAAAATATAATATAAGATTTAAATAAAGTATGTATTTGGAATATTCAATATTTATTACTTAACAAAAACTTTCTAATTTTAGATTGAAGTGTCGCTACTTTGTGCACATACCTCGACGCCAGCTCGACTTTTGCTGTCCACATTGGAGCTGCTGAACTCGGTGTCCTCGACGGTGTTGACCGTGTTCGTTGAGTTGCCGTCGACCAGGCCCAAAGCCCTGCCCCCGGATCCGGGTCCTGAGAGGCCCGCCGTCCCGGCACTTCCGGCCTTGGTCTTGGCCGTGGAGAATCTGCCGAGCCGTAGACGCAGTCGATTAAGTTTCGTATCTGTTGCCGCACCGCCGTCCGGCTGAAAGAGATAGATAGATGGAGATAGGTAAGAAAAGTGAGTGAGATGGGGCGATAGAGTCCTTCTAGTTGCGTCTGCATTGATTTTTCGCCCTTTGACCCGTGTGCATGACTTCAAATTAAATTCATACTTCTTCGCACAGCATTAAAATGAATAACAAAAGAGCGTTGGCAAATTTACATTTTCGGCTTTTTGTGCCTTACGCTTCAATAAACCGCAATTTGTACGCATATCCAAAAAAAAAAAAAAAACAGAAAAAAGTTCCAGGCTGAGCCGAAAGATCCGATCCGATCCCCTTTTTTTGTTGTTGCTCTCCTGTTACCATATGCATATGTAAGTGGGTTGCGTCCCGTAAATAAATTGTGTGTATTTGTTACAGTCACCCAAGAATATCTCCCAAATGGCCCACTTCGCCTGACCGCCCGACAGCTCCAAATAAATTTCACGTCTGACTGCTCCCAGCGCTTGACCTCTTTGATTTTTTCCCAGCCGCGTAGCCCTTTTTTTCTGATTTGGTAGAGTATTCGGTTCGCAGAGACAATGAACTTCGACTCACAGAGGGTTTAGTTTGTTGAACAAAAATTCGATTAGCTTCTATTTTTTGGCATTGAATTAATTAGGGCGTCTGGAGAAGATGTTTATTTTAAAAATTGTTAAAATTCATAATATTTGCAAGTGTGTTTAGAGGACCTTTAAAGCGTTTGTTAATTATGTCATTTAATTAAATAATATAGGAAGATAGCAAAAAAGTCATTATTCACATATAAATATTCTTAAATGATAACAAATTCTTGGGAACACTTTAAATGTATAAATACTGCTGAGCATTTTGAGCTTTTCAAAAATAAATCATTGTATTGAAAGTACAATTCAACACAGTGTAAACATGCTTCGCCTTTCTCCTTTTCTAAATATATTCCCTTTGTGTGCGGAATTTTGTCGTCTTCAATCCCACCAAATTAAAGTAATTGAGTAGTCCAACCCTTTGCCATCGGCCTCGTCATCTTTGTCGCCTTCGCCTCCGTCTGTTGACCCTTTGGCAAGTCGATATTGCTTTAAATAAATAAAATTATGCTGATTTTGCCTTCGTGTGCGGAAATTTCAACGACGAGAAAAAGGGTTCCGAGTCGATGGCGATCCAAAAATGGTGTGAATATTTGCGCAAATAGTATTAAATGGGTTTACAGCATGGCCCCATGCGTGTGACCTTCATTTTGTGGGCCAAAAACTAAACAAAATTGAGGGCCGAAATCTTCGTCAAGTGACTTGCGGGTTTGCTGAAGTTGGGGCGAAAAGTTCAAGGGGTGACCGGTCAGATAGCTTATTAAATATTGAAGAGTTTAAGCTTAATTAGGCAGAAGGAAAAGGGGGGTCAGAATGAGATATCCCAGTGGGAGATGAAAGTCTGTTCGAAATTAATAAATAACAAGCCACACTTCAAGTTTGGTTAAAGCTAAGAGCACGAAACCGGTATTAAATTTCAATTCCTGGCTAAGAGGGAACCTTTCACTGAATGTTCACCTAGATAAGTTGGAAGTGATGGAGAAAAACCATTATTGTCGTGGCAGAAAAAAAAAACAATTGCTGGTGAAGTTCTCTTTGGGGAAAACTAAAGTATCTACACACTTGTGTGTTACTTAAATAGCAAGGCAAACATGGCCAACACACACATACACACACACCAATACACACATGCACGTGATAAGAGCGATAAGCGCTCTCTTTTCAGCAGTTCGGCAATAACGATAAGGATGCGGATACAAAACCTCGGCTCAATGTGAATTTTATGCAGATGTGCTGTCAGCCGACTGTTTTTCTGTGTATTTAAGCGTTTGCATAAACGATACACTCATTCCCGTCTGTTCGTCCGTCCGTCGACTGTAGTCCTTAGCCATTTTTGGCACTTTAGCTAATTTATGTAAATTGTTTTCTTATTTAATTGTTTTTCTTTCCGAGACACATGTTCGGCTTCCGAAAGAAATGCCTGCGTATGTGCGTGTGCTCGTGTGTATTCAATAATGTGTTTTCATGCGATTTATGTTGGTCCTGAGTGTGACAAGAATGCCGTGGTATTAACTACACTGGGCAACAAAATTTATGGCTTTTACAGGGCAAGAGCCCCGCTGGCAGAGCAGCTAGAAAATTAAAATAAATCCACCATAAATAACAGCAAAATCAAATGCAAACTCGGTCTCAACCGATGTAAAACAGAGACTGCATTTTGCCTAAAAGTAATTAACATTTTGGTTTAGATTTATTTTATCTAGAGCTGTTTAGTATTTTAAAAAATGTTTAATTTTGTACTATAATTCTTTTTTCTTTGTTGATTTCCAAAATATTTTAAGAAGATTTATTTGGTTTATTTAGAAATAATTGTTTTTTTGGGTTTTATCAACAAGTCAAAACAAAAAAAATGTATTCTTTAAAAGAGATAACTTTCTTGTTCACTACTCTAAGCATTTTCCTGGAGGTTGAATGTTTTATTTATTTTAAATTTTGTTAGCCATGTAGGGCACTTGGCACTTTTGCTGTTCAGTTTTTTGTCGAGTATTTTCCCTCTTTTCTACCCAGACACAAACACGTCTCCGTGTGTCGCAGATGGCAGATGGCGAGTTGGCCAAATATGCTTTTCACTCATGCGATGTCGGGTGCTTGACTGTTTTGTCACATGTTTGGCTATGAAAATAGTGTCAATATCTGTAGCAATCAATTCGAGATGCTCTTGCAAATGTAATTGCGATGATGATGGTGTGCTGCCCATGGGCATTCGTCCGTAAATCAGCCTTCTATGTTGGATTATTAATAACATTTGCTCGCCGCTCGTCCGCACATAATGCCAATAGCTGAATTACAGATAATACCTGCTTCGCTTAATTGCCATTTGGCCGCCGCTTTCCACCGCTCCTCCATCAGTTAATTGCAAAATCAATGTGCGTGTGACCAGCATGAAAATTGCATTTCAATTAAAAATACAAACAGCGTGTTACATTCTGGACAAAAATTAGTTGGCTGACAACTTTCGGCTAATGATAGTTACATTTGTGAATTCGATTAGCCCGCTTTGTGCACCATCAAATTATTTAACAATTTGCCAATAAACATACCGAATGCAAATGCAATTAGCTGAAAATTTATGCCGGGCAAGGCATTTCCCACCAGAAAAAAAAAAACGCAGCGGGTTAGCAGAAAATGTGTACCCTCGTCAAGGAGCAGGAAAGCAATTTTCAATTTGAAAGCATTTAGTTATCAGAGAATGAAAAATAAAACCAATGAATAACAAAGTCGCAGGGCTAATGCCCTTTTTCCGTGTTCGGGAAATTCCTCGGAAGGCGGGGAAATCTTTTCAAATCGAAGGCACGGTCAACAGGACTGGTGTAAAGGATATATCAGATGTGTGTGCAGGGTAAATATATTCTAAAATCAACAAGCAGGACAGGGAACCCGACTGGTGAGTGGCACTAAATGGATGTGGGTGTGGCTGTGGATGTGGATGCGGCTGTGGATCTCGGGGTGTGTGTGTGTCTGTGTGCCGTGGGTGTGCGGGTAAGTGTGTTGACATGTAACTAAGGCACGCATCGTGAGGCTGGATTGGGCCGGACATCGGCGGAGGACAAAGGAGCAGGACATCGGGGCAGGACATGGGCCAGGACATGTGTACGAATGGCAAATAGTGGACAACTTGCCTTGTTTGCGCATTGAATTTGTGATTCCAATGACTTTTTGCCAGCGCTCTCTATCTCAGTCGCCCAGCTTTAGTCAGTCAGTGTTATATGCACACACGTGGCTTTATACAGATGCGGTCAAAATAATAGCAGTCAATCAGGAAATAATTGAAACAAACAAGTTTAAAACTGCATAATTTATAGCTCATTTAGATAATCAATCCTTCATTATCACAATGGAAAATTAGATTAAATGTGTGAATTATATCAAAACATTTTCTTTCTAAAAAATGTAATAAACTCATTGTTAGCAATTTCTGCTTTGCACAGAAGAAAATAGTAAGTATTAGATCTGGTAAAACTTATAACTTAATTCGAAATACCTCTATTGTATTGACCAACACTGTATGTAAAAGCACATGTGTTGGTAAGTGGTTGCAAACATTTTTACGTCAAATGGTCATTTTCAATTTAGTAAGCACTAAGCTTAAGCTAAGTAGCAGCTTGCCAGCAGGTCAGCCCAAGATTGAAGAAAAAATAAATAAAAAGCTTCGGCGAAAAAGTCAGCTAACGGGAAAAAGTGCAGACGAAATCGTAGATACCCTATCGCTTGATAAAAGTTAAGCAAAGTCAGGCAGAAGATTCTTTGGCAAACGAAAATTAGTTTTTAATTTCGTTGATAAACAACTTGGAAATTGTTGAAATTTCTTTCTTCGGAGCGAAAACAAATTACAATTTGGCCAGACTTTGCTCGAACACATCCTGTGCGTATTAGTTTGACCAGCTGGCGCATTAGGGCACAAACTTCTGGCCAAAGGACTCCCATACACACACACACACTCACTCAGACACACTCTCAAGTCAAGACAAGCTGCCACTTATCGCTCAACTTTCGGACAAGAAGGCTTTAATGTCCACGTGGCGTATGCTTAACTTAAGCCTCGCTTCCCCCGCTTTCTTCTCCTTTTTTTCCTTCTGGGTATTCCAAAATCCTTTGCCATGCATATTTCATCACTTTGGATGCTTCTGCCTAATTACAGCCCACATTCCCTTTAGGTTCGGCGGAGTACGCTATCCATATTTAAATTGGACAGTATAATTTCATAAGGTCAGGCCCCAAGTCATGTGCATAGAAATTACAGAACGTTGCCTGCGGTTTGGCATTTGACTGACCCCTGTGGTTCGGCTGAATTTGTGGCCTAAATGGGCGCGGTTTGCTGCGATCGAGGTCGTAATTGCAATGGCCAGGCTGTGGCTTGGACTTGGGAATCAAAATTTGACGTTAATACAGGGTCGTCATTTTGCAGAGACTTGGGTTGAATTTAAATTAAAAGGTTAGTAACCAAATTTAGAAAGAGGGTTCAAAGTATAAGCCAACATGTTTAATCATTATTTCTTGTGCATATTTAATTCGAAATTTTTTATGTATTAAAGAATATTGTTTTTTTTAATTCATCTAAGCATCTATAAATTTAAATATTGAGCGTTAAGTTTGAGGAATAAATTAAAATTTAAGCTCTTAGTCAATGAAGTTTCTCCTCTCCTTAAAGTATTATAATTTTAAAGCAACATTTTAGATGTGTAACGCTCCCCAGCTAATTAATGAAAACAGCATGTCGAACAAGGGGGAAGTGCACTACGTGTGTCATAAATGCCAGTCAATTACGGCAGTCAATCGATTACGTTAAGTGAATGGGAAGCCTGCACTATACCTGATTATTATTGACCGCTGCATCGACGGGTCTCGGTCGTCGACGATGGATGCGTTTGCGGGCCGTTTGATAGATTTTCCAGTAGAGTGCCAGGATGACCAAGAGCGGCACGTAGAATGTGCAACAGGTGGCAAATACCTGGAAAACATGATGGTGTCAGTATAATAAGTGGTTCTTACGGAGAGAACGTAGATATTTTTTACCTGATATGACACATCCTGCGAAACCATGCACTTCTGCTGCTCGATGCGCTGCAAATAGTCGGGATCCTTCCAACCAAACTGTGGCGCCAAGGAGACAATCACCGCCGCTGTCCAAACGCAGAAAATCATCATGAAAACGCGATTGCTGGTCCGCGAGTGGATATAGTCTATATTGGTCACCGCCCAGTATCTGCAAAAAATGTAAAATTTATTATAGGAGTTTACGAGTTTAAGTTGTAAATAATTTTTTTGGGTAATCAAACATTAGTTCTGTTAAAGCCATAGACTTATGATTGAAATACCAGTTTCATATAACTTAAACTTGATAAATAAAAACAGATTTGAGCCCCCCTAGCAATTATTATACAATTGTGGCCACTTAAACATGCTCGCTTAGTTACTCCATTATCCGAACCCGCAAAAGTGTAAATAAAATACTGCATAAATCTAGGCGCTGGCAAGCAAACACATATTTAGGACTCACACCCACACTATTGCAGAGACCCATATGGCAGGGCGACAAAGTAAAGAAACGTGTTCGATATTCAGTTTCCGTCTCACAGTTTTCCGTAGCGTTTTGTAACAACCTTTGTTGTTGGTCCTTCTATTTGCCGAGCGGGCCAAAACATGTTTTATGTATGTCTGCGTATGGTTGTTGCTCTTTGTGTGTGTTGCTGTGTGTGTGCGAGTGTATGTGTGACTATGTGGGAGGCATTTTTTAAATTTCCATTTTGTGTAGGTTGAAAAATAAGGTTACTCTACTGATTGATACGGCTGTGGATACAGAACATTTCGAACTGAACGGTTAAGAGCATCTTTAATGATACCAAAAATTCAGCTCACATTCAGCTGTGTTTGGTTTTACTTTTGGCCCATTTAATCCCAGCTTTTTTGGCTTAAATTGTGTTAGAAGTGGCTATTTTTGTTCATGGCTGTCTGGCTGAGGTGAGAGCATTTTCTATTCGCTTGTTTCTTTCTCTGCTTGTCTGTAAACTAGTTTCCCATTTGGTTTGCGCCGAACAACATTCCTAAACGAGTTTTTAAAACGTTACGTGGTCTCTAACACACTTGAACACATATAAAAAGGCTATATATGTTGAACTATTCTGGAAGCGTTGTGTATAATGTGCTCTTTCTGCTGATGATGCTGCCATTAAATTGCTAATAGCCATGGTGTTCACACAGCAACCAAAACGGATAGGATTATATTTTAAAGTTTTTCATACTTTAAGACCTATCGAATAAATTTAGATAAATGAGGGTAGAAAACAAACACCTCAGATTGTTGGTTCGAGTATAAAGCAGAATCCTTAATTACTTGTTTGTTTTATCATAATTTAAAGTGCTCTGTAGCGTAGAAAAATGTCTCATCTGTGTTGTGGCTTGTGGGAATTAGCGTCGAGAAACCGCAAGTTTCCAAAATTGCTCATATGCCAACAAGCGATGGCTCCAGTTTCCTTTATTTTCTGATACCGTGATACCGCGCTCTGACCGCAGAGCTTTAAGTGGCAGGCAAAAACAACATTAACATCGACAGGAGCCACGGCAAACACATGTTTATGTATTAATTAAATGCAATTTGCATAAACAAATATTATTTTGCCTCGACGAGAAGGCAGAGAAAGTCTACCCGTTCGTGTGTGCGCTCGTGTAAGTTGAAATCAACAATTAAATGAGTTGACTAAGCACTCGAAATGAGCCATAGATGGGATCTATATGTATGTGGCAAGGGTAAACCGTTGTGGAGTGCCCTTTCGGCCATAGAGCATAATTTAATTTGTCTACAATTGAGCACTTAAATGACAGCTTTATAAATATTTGTTAATGGTGCTGCGTGAAAGCAATTATGTGTCACTTAATTGCGGGAATTCCGCAGACTAAATCTGCATTAAATTATATTGTTATATAAAAGATAAACATAAGCCGATCACTGTATTATATCAACCATTCCTTCTGACTCCCCTACATCACGCATACGCCATGTGGGCCGCGCAAATAATAAATAACAATAAATCATGACGACTGCTGATGGCCGGTGACTTTTGCCTGGAATGAAACTGATTTTCTGGGGTTACTTCCAGTACATTTCGGAGTGCCCTCTGTCTAGGACAACTTCAGAGTCCGCCAGCCTTCTCCTCCCCGAATTCATTAGCATAATATAATCGACTTCAAGTCGGCAATTTTGATTGACTGCTTAAAATTAATGGAAATTTGTGATTTCGCTGTCAGTGCGCCGCGTGAATATATATCTATGTATTTGTTTCCTTTTTTAACTTTCCCGAAAGAGGCTTTTTCAAAAGAACGCAGTGTACGCCGTGCATGCGTAATGAAAAATCCATGCAAATTAATAGCGAAACCTAATAAAGTGTCTGTCATGCTTTCGTCAAAGTATTGCCGTTTTGCAATTTATATAACTCATACGAGCAGCGGATAATAATTTGTTATAGAATGAAATATGCCCACCGGCTCCGTCTGCCGTTAAAATTCAATTGAATAGAAGTCAATCAATTTGCGAGAGTATCTGACGACGTTTGTCGCTAACTTAAGTTGAGTGATGAATTATAACAATTTATTTGTGAGCCAAACAATTTAAATGTGATTTTTCCATTATGCCCCGTCTATGCCTGAGTATGTTTTTTTTCGGGCCGAAGTGTGTGATAAATGTGCGGCACTCGAGTGTAACACTTTTTAATGCATTTAAAAATTGCGCGCCTAGCACACAAGAAAGTCATTACTCTTATGGCTGCCTAAAACGAGAAAATTGAAAAACGACAAATGGTAGAGGGAGTGCTTTTTAAGTGAAGCGTGATGGGGTTTTTTAACCCACTGTGCACAGCATTTTTTTACATATGCCATTTTATAAATTGGCAAAATATGTTTTAGAGTAGGTTAATCTTTTGCAGTATCACTTTGCACTCTCTTTTTTTTAGAAAATCTGTTTAGAGTTAGAGCGCAAAATAATTCAATTATTTGCTATATTATGTACAACATAAAGAGCTTTTCTCCCATCATCATCCCATAAATAATTCCCGTTGAGCGCAATGAAAATTATTTTCCACCAGGCCACAAACTCATTAATACAAATCCATTTAAAACAAAAGGCAGCGCGATTGGCTTTTTAAGCTGTCCATAATTAATTGAAATTTTATATATTGTCAAGTGGTGACAGTCAATATTTATCTACGCAATGGATCGCTTCATGGTGTTTTTTGCTATTCCCATTTCAATGCATTTTTGATGCCTGTCGCCCGCTGTTTGCTTATAATGCTTTATGGCTTTATTTTTATTTTTTTCTCTGCGTATATAAAAGGGGTTTTTGCTTTCATTTCATCGATGTCTCCCCTCAGCTAATCGATTGCATTACATTCGAAATCAGCTCAGCGTACAGCGGGGAATAAAAAACAAAAGCATAAACAAAAAGTTGATTTTATTCACCTGCGGCTGCCCCATTTTGGTCGTCGAGTTTTTGTTTTGTGAACAACGGAAAATTGTTGGCTTGATGGGCTCACATGTGCTGGTAATAGTTTTGTTTTGTTCTAAGCCCTGCGGCATCTGTGGCATGATTAAATTTTTGCAAAACTACTTGCTCCCTTTCCCATTTAACAATGGCTAGAGTAAACAATAGATAGGGATAGGTTTCCTATTTTTTCTTTCAAATATTGTGTTTCTTTTGAAACCAACTGGTTCGTAATTAAACTCTTTAACGCCAGCGGAGGCCATTAATCGATCTACATGAAATATATATGTTGAATTTTGCAGTTGAAGGCAAATAAATTCTTGGTGTTTAAAAAAACAAATAGTGTGTATTTACCTTTAAAAGAAGATTAATGGCCACAACTACATTAATGTTAAATTTGTTGAAATAATTGCCCTTTAGGTTTGCACATAAAAAATTAATTTTCCTAATTAGTATTATCAGTTTCTTCATGCAAAAATTGTGCATTCAGGTTGCCATCGTTTGCATTTAATATGGAAATTAGACAAAGTGTCGAGCGATTGCTGATTAATCAGTTTTTTTTTTAATGAGATGTAAAATTAAATAAATTTCTTTTATTTTACCCAAATAATGAAAAGCACTGGAGCAGTAAAGTGGAATATGAGTAATGTTCAAATTAATTATTTTATTTAATGTGACCACTGGAGGTGTTAAGTTTACTCTACGGAATTTTCCATCCTGAATTCCTTTCTTCCTCTTATTCCGTTTTCGTTGTAGCTTTGTTTCTCGTAAGGATTACTGCCACTCGGCCTCGTTTTGATGGCACATTTCTCTGGTCGCCGGTTTTCAGTGAGACGCTTATGCTGACAAGCTGCCGGCCCACAGCGAAATTCAATTTAAAACGTGCTTACGTGGCCAAGTTCCAGGGAAAATGGACAGCCGGCATTACCGCATTCTGCTAGTGAAGTGCTCTTTTTGGCCAGCACAATTTAATATTGCAGGCCAAAGTGCTTGTTGCGTCGCCTCCGGTCTGAAATTCTTATTGAAATATATACTTTATAAACTTTTACATCTCTTTCCGTTTCCTACTTTCTCTCTCAGCTCGGTTAATTTCCCATATAGTACGTAGTAGTAGAAAGAACAGCGGCAAGTTTTGGTTTATTCTTTTAATAAACGCAACAGGAATTATCCATAAAACATTGTGCTGGGCCACGGTAAAAGTTTTCTAGTTGCTGCACAGCTGGTGCAGGATGCGTCTTTTTTTTGATTACAGGACCCTTTCTTCAACCTAGTCTGGGTACAAAAGAGGTCGGACAAATGTCACTTAAAGCTATTATTATTTTCTCCTTTGTTTAAATTTATTTTAAATCCTATGACACGAGAAAATGTTGTGAAAAACAAACCAGATTTGAAAAAATATATATAGCAAATGAAACGAAATTATTTATATTTATATATTTCTCAATGCTTTATGTCATTAGTAATTAACTCTCTTAACGTTAGTAGAAACGTAATATACTATTTTTTTGTCCTCATCTGTGCGAGTGTGTGTGTGAGTTACGTGCGTAACCTATGCGTGCCCCAAAGGGAGGCAAGCAATTGTAATTTACGACTCTTACACACACATGCAGACAAAAGACGTTGGGCACATGAAAAACTTATGTAAATTACAAGAAGAAAACAAAGGACAGGCAGAGTCTGCTGGCTGCTCCCCGAGAAGGAATCCCCTGCCTCCATCTGCCTCCTGAACGCCG